TACTACTGAACTAGTTTACCAAAATGAGTTTCATATACTACATTGTAAACTTGTGATGTGTTTGTTTGTTTCTCTTTTAGAACGCGGATAAAATATTGGAGAAGAGTACCCCGTTATGCAATGGTAAAGGAAGTAATGCAGATAAGGTTCAAGATAGTGAGACATCCCTGTTGGTCTCCAAGAAAGCTGATAAAAACTATATTGAAGACACTGAGACAACCCCAAAGTCCTGTATTGATGTAGTGTTCGAGTTACTGGCTACTACTGCTGGCACGAGCTCTTCGAACTCGCTGCCTGAATCAGTTTGGCTTCTTGAGTCTCAACTTCAAGTTGAAAGACATCGATCAGATGTTATGCAACAGGAAGCCGAAGGACTGAGGAAGTCCCTGTAGAATTCAGATGCATACTTCCTGGTGCAACAGCAAGTGCTAGAGGATTTAAGCGCCAAACAAGAGAAAGTTAATAAGCTTGCTAAGCATCTTGCCAGCATTATGGGCACCCAGGATATTGTTTCTTCAGATCTTCTGAAGTGGTTTCAGTTCTGTACTTGTTTTGCTGCGGCATTTATTTGCACCGGTCGCCAACTTTGACAACCAGTGTATATGTTATGCTGTTTTGTTCCCTATAGTTGCACTGGTGGTGAACTTTAATGCCCAGTGGATGTAATATGTGTAATAGTCGTGATAGCCTAGCATAAGTTGCTTGCTTATTTATTTCCTTGTTGTCTTGTTTATTTGTTTTCTTGTAGTCAGTACAGCTCTTTTTCCGCGGTTTGCTAGTGGCCGCAATAACATATTTTTTAAAACTAGGCCACAATAACCATGGGCTACATATTTACTATAGTTACCATGGGCCTCGTACGGGCTGTAGAAACAATGGGCCTTCTAAGGGCCGTAGAAACAATGGGCCTTCTACGGGTCGTAGCATCAATGGGCCTTCTATGTGCCGTATGATGGATAGGCCAAACATGGGTCAATAAAAGACCTCATTATGGGCCATAAACGGGCTAGATTTGGAATTCTCCATTCATGGGCCGACAATAACGGGCTACCATTAATCGACCGTATTTGATGACGCTATGAAAATGACCCAACGAATTAACAGGCTGTAAACGAGCCGATTGTAACCGCGGGCTGAATTTGGCCCACAAGCAGAAAAGGCCAATAACGGGTCGTAAGTAACTGAATGCTGAAAATGAACCCAAGAATAAATGGGCCCTGAGAAGGCCGAAAGATAACACGGGTTGGAAACGGCCCAATGGAATAATGGGCCGTTAATGGGTATAAAGGGGTACACTGTTCATTGCGGGCCAGATTCACCATGGGCCTTAATGGGCCAAGAGTTACAAATGGCCTCGTATGGGCTGAAAGACATCATGGGCCATACATGGGCCGGAAGTTACAACGGGCTGGAATCATATTTGACGGCCCAGATGAAGCTACTGGGTTTAATTCCGATAGGCCGTAATGGATCGTGAGTTAGCGGGTCATAAATGGGCTATATACGAACAGGTCATTAACAGGCTTTCCGTGGGCCGGCCCATTACCTTCTGACCAAGTCAAACGGGCCGGCCTTTTCACCGGAATGGGCCTCTATTGGGCCATGCCACGTGTCGACGTATCATAGGTGCCTCCTATCCAATGAATGGATGACATCTAACCCAACGGTGAGCCAACACGTGTTTCCTCCGGCCAATGAGAATTTTACACGTTGAAAATCCTCATTGGTCCAGGCTGTTAGCGGGTTATCGGATCCAAAACCGAACCCGATAGCTTAACGGCGACCCGTTACGGTGGATGCCATGTGTCGGTCACCCTTGACGAAAGCACTTCCATGACGCGCTATTTATCGTCATGGAAGTGGACACTTCCGTGATGATAATTTTGGTAATGTCATGGAACACTTCTACGACAGCACATGTATGACTATCTTGATTCTGTCATAAAATTGTCATGGATGTACATGCATGACAGAAAACATGACCTATTGTGACAAACACGTATCATCACGGAAGTGTCTTTTTTTGTAGTGTATGGAGATACCGACGATATGACAAAGGGAATAACATATGTTGTCATAACGGTTTGACCGATAAAGATCTTCGTAGAATATGTGAGAACCAATATGAGCATCCAGGTTCCGCTATTGGTTATTGACCGGAGAGGTATCTTGGTCATGTCTACATAGTTCTCGAACCCATAGGGTCCGCATGCTTAACGTTTGATGACGATTTGTATTATATGAGTTATGTGATTTGGTGACCTAATGTTGTTAGGAGTCTCGGATGAGATCACGGACATGACGAGGAGTCTCGAAATGATCAAGAGGTAAAGATTCATATATAGGACGATAGTATTTGGACACCGGAAGTGTTCCGGGGGTACCGAGTATGTATCGGGTCACCGGAAAGGGTTCCAGGCACTCCCCGGCAAAGATATGGGCCTTATTGGGCTAAGGGTGGGACAGACCAGCCCCTAGTGGGCTGGTGCGCCCCCATATGAGCCTGCCTAAGTGGAGAAAGGAAAAGGCGAGGAGGAAAGGAAATAGAGGGAATAGGATTCCCCCTTCCTTTCCCCTCTCCACTCTTTCCTTTCCCCCTCCAGAGAAAAGGAAAGGGGGCGGCCGAATTGGAGGAGGCCCCCAAGTAGGATTCCTCCTACTTGGGGCGCCCCATGGCTGTCCCCTCCCCCTCCCACCTATATATATGTGGGGAGGGGTGTCTAGAACACACAACAAACATTGTTAGCCGTCTGCGGCGCCCCCCTTCATAGTTTACGCCTTCGGTCATATTCACATAGTGCTTAGGCGAAGCCCTGCGCGGATCACTTCACCATCACCGTCACCACGCCGCCGTGCTGACGAAACTCTCCCTCGACACTTTGCTGGATCAAGAGTTCGAGGGACGTCATCGAGCTGAACGTGTGCAAAACTCGGAGGTGTCGTACGTTCGGTACTTGATCGGTTGAATCGAGAAGACGTTCGACTACATCAACCGCGTTATACTAACGCTTCCACTTTCGGTCTATGAGGGTACGTCGACACACTCTCCCCCTCTCGTTGCTATGCATCTCCTAGATAGATCTTGCGTGAGCGTAGGAAAATTTTGAAATTGCATGCTACGTTCCCCAACACCTATAAGACCCCCGGTGCCCCTCCATGCAAAGGATCGATCATCAGTAGAACACACACACACACACACACATAGAGAGAGAGAGAGAGAGAGGGAACAACCCATGCACTGGCTTGTCTTCCTTCTTCCCTAGAACAACTCTAGGAGCAAACCTGTATCCACCTCATATAAACCACACTCGGCAGGACTAGGGGTATTATTTCTCCGGAGAGCCCCGAACCTGGGTACGTCTCGTGTCATGCACTTGCTTGTGCCAACCTCGCCTCTGGAGCCCACCGGTGCCCTTGTGTTTGTCCTCCTATTTAGCCATCCTATGACATCTGCCGTGAGCCTACCACGACAACTAGTTTCTATTGGTGTTAGCTTGTGTGTGGTGTGTGGATTGGAGGGCATGTCCCGAATCCATATACGATCCTTGTGATTCCTTCCTAGGTTCATAACTTTCATGGTTTGGGTTGCATCCTTGTAAACCAAGCTAGTTATCTGCTCCAACATATTTGAGAGTGTTTCATGCAGTTCTTTGCCACTAGAGAGAGATAGTTGCTGCCGCTTGTGAGTTGTTTGATATCCGAAAGATCGTTCCAGCGGCGCCCGCATTAGATTCCTTATTTGCAGCGATGTGTGTACTTTACAATGTCCTGTTTGAGACGAGAATGGGAGAAATGTAAAGTTGGTGATGCTGCTTCACCGGAGAAATATAAACCCTTTTCCCTTGGTACCCTAAATCTAAGGGAGCCAAAGTCAATCTTTACCACTCTTCCCATTCGCACCTCAGCAACGAAGAGAGAATGGAGGGATATCATCTGCATCAACCAGATCTAGCCATCCGTCGAGCCAATTGAAGGACTTGTTGCCAAATCCACCTCCAACAACTGGTTTCCGCCGCGGAAGATGGTGGGGAGGAGAGTAAGATGACGGCCAGACACTACCCAAGTGAGAATGTGAGGTCCAACACAAAGCTGGCGCCGAGTCCCGTGAGTCGGTGCGTGTCTCATGTCCCACTCCACCTCGCCGACGATTGCACCTCCACTTCGAGGGGCTTAGACGGCCGCCGAACATGGACGTGGCCGGCACAACAAGAACGCTCGTAATTGATGTATCCGGTTGTGAAAACAAAAAAACTATATGTGGCCGGACACTGTCTACGAACTATGTCTGGGAGCGTCCGCGCGCGTATAGGAGGTTGGATTTGCCAAGTCGGGTTGTGGATGCTCTCGAGAGGATTCGGAAAAATGAAAAAAAATGTGAGGAAACACAAAAGATTCTGAAGAGGAGCATCAAACTCTACCACACGAGGAAGATAGGTTTCGCACAACATCGGTTTTCACCACGGAAAGAAAAAACTGCCATCCCTGTCTTCCATGGCCCACCCCACGGATGACGAGTAACGAGGTCACCATGAACCGAGAATCCGTGACGATCAGATTCAGCACATCCACCTCGGCGGTCGGCAGGCGCCAAGACGCCCCGTCGGCCGCGCCCGCAAAAATATCGGCGCCCCGTCGACAGTCGACAGCAGGGCATCCACAGCCCACAGCCCACAAGCCACCCGCGGTCTCCGCCTCCCGTGCCCCGCACTCCCGTCCGCTTCGCGAACCTTCCTCCTCCGCCACAAGGGCAAGGGAGGCCACCTCACCTCACCCACCCAACCACAGCCACGGCCGACCAACCCCGAGAAAATCCCCCTCGATTACCCCTCCCGACGCCGCGCCGGGCAAAATCGCCGGTCATTTTCCCGGGGCCTCCGCGCCTCCACGCCGCCCCTTCCATCGGTAACTCCGCCGATTTATCCCCCGCCCTCCCCTCCCCCCACCACCTCCCTTCTCGTTGAGAGTTTCTTCTCGCCCTCTCTATCCGCTCCTCGCGAGCGATGGTTGGCGACCTCTCCCTCCTCGCCTCCGCCTCCGCCTCCCCCGTCATCCTCGCGCCCTCCAAGGTACGCTCCCTCGCGCGCGCCCAGCCTCTACGGACCGCCTGCGTCAGCCTCTGCTCGCGTCCGATTTGCCGCCGTACGTGACGGGATGATGACGTGGTTGTGTACTTGTGTAGGAGCTCCATGGCGTCCTGCCGTTCCAGGGGAAGAGGTCCCAGCAGGACGCGGGGAGAAGCGCCGCCGTGCAGCTCTCCCCGCAGCAGCACCTCCTCGAGGGCGCCTACCAGGCGCAGCAGCCCCTGCAGATGATGGTCCCCGGGATCGGCCAGGCTGCCGCCGCTGCCTACCAGACCTTCGACAGCGCCGCGCTCATCGACGTGCAAGGTTCGCAATCCAGACAAACCCGTTACGGCCTGGCTGGCCCTGTCTCCTGAATATGATGCTGCATGCTGCTATATTTTGCCTCGTTTGATCATTGGATGCTGCACCAGACGGCTTCAGAGCCTATGTGGCTCATGAGCTTAACGTTTGCCTCATTAGAGGTTACACCCGGGCGTCAAATCGTGACAGTAGCACTTACAGTTAGGCAGTGCACTCTCTTTCCAAGAGAACCTGTTTTTCTGCTGTAAACAGCAACTATATTCTGATTTACTGAACGCAGCAATAATTAAAGGTACCTGATTGTGAACTTAAAGAAGCGAGAAGCACGATGCATGAGCCGTGGCTCGAGGTTTTAAAAAGTGACCAAAAAAAAGAAACCTGTACACGTCGACTGCTTTGTTCTGTGCTGCACGCAGAAGATTGTCGACTGAAGTTGCACTGCATTCAACAAGAAGCATGCTGCATGAGCCTTAGCTTGTGGTCTACAAAACTGATACTACCTTTTTTTTCGCGTCGTCTACAAAAGTGGCACAAAAACATTCCTTTACACTTCAATTGCTGTGTCTGTGTAGCAAGTGAAACGTTGTCTATTGGACTCGCACTGCCTTTTTCAAGTAGGTTGGCTGTTTGTGGCACTATAATACACATAGTTCTGGCCAAGGTTAATTATGAACTTTCGCTAAGTGGTTTATCCTTTGGTTCATAGTTTATCCACCGTAAAAGTCAAGTTTTACATGCGTTTCAATCTCTGATGGCTCCTGTTTATTTATTTGTAACAGATTCCCACCCCGATTCGGTTCGACTTAGCCTTGGGATTGCTGAGCAGTGTGCAAGGCAAGAGAAAATCCTAAAGTTTCTAATGTCAGGTTCTGATGTCAAAGAACTTGATGCCTCTTTGCTTACTGAATTTACGGGACATCAGATGCTATCAGCTAATATGGGTGGTCAACCATATTTCTCTGATGATAAGTTATCTGTCTATGAGTTTGGATTGGAGGAGCCTCTGCAGTATCTAGCAAAAAATCAACTTATCATCCCTGATGACAAGTTATCCATCTATGAGTTTGGATTGGAGGAGCCTCTGCAGTATCTATCAGAAAATCAACTTATCATCCCTGATCCACTTTTGGAATTTGCTCAGTCCCAAGGTGCCCTTGCTATAGATGAAAATGGCCGGGTCATCTTCACTGGCAGTGGAGACGAGATGAGAGACTTACTTTCGGTTTTCTTAGAGTTCAATGTACCTAAACGAGAAGCAAGTGGTTGCAAGGCTGCATATTTAGTTCCATACTTCGACAGGTAATAATTGGAAGCATCATGCTCCATGTGAACCCTTTTCCTCATCTTATTAACTCATTCACTAAGGTTTATGTTATGCATAGTCCCCACTCTCGTATAAGGGAATGGACTCCTTATCATTTTATTTTGTCATTATTGGCGTATTCAATTACTGAGCGAAAGTTATAGAGTTGGTATAACTTGGTATAGCATATGTATCCTGTGTGAACTTGCTGCAGCTGGCCCATTAGTTACGTCCGGTTTGCATGACATTGTCGTATTTAAATCATTCCTAGTCAGCTGCACATGCTGGCACGTGGGTAACTGGACATTTGGAATCATTCCTGCTCAGCAGGATGCATGCCACATATGTTATCTTTTTGAACTAGGAAACTGTCTCTATTATGTACTTATCGTAGAAGAGGGATTTACTATAGCCATACAGAAGTAGAAACTACTGAATGCATGCAATGTTAAAATTATCTCTCGAGTATTATATTACCCTTGGATCTAGAGGCTGCACTTCTGCCTGACAACGATTTGTTTAGAAGTAATTATCCATTGTTTCTGATTTCTGTACCCCTTCAAAATATTATGGTTAATAATTTATATCCTAACAAATAACATTTCTATCAGGATGCATACCATTTTTATTTCTGTCAGTTACATGATATAGAATTTTGTTTTTTTTGCACAACAGGAAAAGGGGCCGAAATAGTAGTCAATCCAATTCAAAATCAGCAAGCACCGCAGTTGATGCTCCAAAAAGGTAGTGCATCTTTCTTTGGTTATGTATTACTTCATTATGTTGTTGTTCTCATGGTGTACTCAATTATGGTAACTTCCATGCCTAGCTCTGATGCTGCTATGTTTATTCTTTGACCTGCTGGTTACCACAGCATATACCTCCCTGATGTTTACTACTTTGGTAATCACTTGCACCATAGGTTAGGCATATAGTGTGACAATTTTTGTATTCCTTCCAAATTCCGATTGTGACATGTTAGTTGCATCTAAATGCGGAGTCCTTGACCCATATGCACCCACAAAGTGCAAAAGAAAGAATTAGCATTTTGTATTAAGATTTTCCTATGAAAACAGAAAATACCATTTGAAACAAAGCCATCGTTGTTTGAATATCCACTTTAAAATATACACCTTGATGTACTGGTGAGTTTTGCGTTATATACCAAATAGCATGGTCGCTATACCAGTAGTATCACAATGGATAGTTTGGTAACCCAGCTGTCTAATTTATTTTACCGGGATAACCATTGCATGGACCAATTCCTTGGAACTTGGAAGGTGAACCTTACTGAATTGCCTGAGTATGCACATGGAAATTATTTCATGTTGAAATTTATATACTGTGATATGGCAAATTGCGAATTGCACCTTTTGTTTATACGGTATCCAAGGTCATGTGCACATGTTAATATGATTCTGTTATGATACTCAGCAATGCAAATGTGAAAGCAAAATCTCCATCGAAGAAGAAACAGAAAGGAAAAACCATCAATGAACGTGACATGTATCAGAACAATTATTTCCATGCCAGCGAAGCTTTTTTCTCAATCCTTTTGGACAAGGACAGAAGCAGCTCGACAATTCTCTCACTGAAGAAAGCAGGCCCTGAGATCACTGAACTGTTGACACAGTGCTCAATTGGCATTGCTGGAACTGGCCTGGCTGTTCTTCTGTCGGTCGTGTGCAAGGTTGCTATCGGCGGGAGGACTCCTTTTGCCGCCACCCGTCTTCTGCACACAGGCGTTGGGTTTGGGCTCTTCTGGCTCTCCCATGCGGTAAATGGATTGCGGGACACAATCACCAGTGTATTCAGAGGCCCGGTTGACACAAAGTTGGAGGATGAGGTTGCCGTGAAGATACAAAGAAGCATGAACGATATTCTCTTCAGGGCCGTAAGTCTCCTGGCAATCACTGCTTTGAGGTTTGCATGAGCTGTTCCTACACTGCTGTAACTTGACGCACCTCGATTCACCTTTTGGTTCAGGAGTACAGTACTGTAGGACTAAGTGCCAAATACCTTCATGATTCATGAGGGCCTCATAGAAAATGCGCAACTTTGTAAATTGTACAGAATTTTGCTGGCAGCTCAGTGTATATGGAAGATAGATTTTGCCTGTTCTGAACGTTAATTAAGCTAATGATCAATATACTTTGTATTTCTTGTTATATTTTTTCTCGATGACATCATTTTGATGGTCTATTGACATAGCAACCTTGGGATGATTAGTTAGAAAGTTTCAACCGCCAAAAGTTTTGTTCAATACTGCAAATTAATGAAGTTACTATTTAACATGCCATTGCCTAACACTAATTTGCAGCTCATGCTGACCACATTAAACATGTCTATTTTTTGTTACTAGACATATGTCGTGCCTTGAAGATTATTTATTTACTTACTATTAAAGGTTGTATGCCTCAATTTAATTGTTGCAACTGTGGTGACGAGTAATTTGGAACGGAGGGAGTAGTTTCTAATTTTATACCAATTTCCTTCATGCGTAATTCATCTAAGATTACTCTTTAAATTCGCATAGCAATGCACGGGGAAATCACTAGCGGTTATGCAAATCCATGTCATTTTTCACGTGCCATCATGCCAAGGATTAGAAACGAAAGTAGAAGAGAAAGATTAGAAACGCACTATTAGCCCTATATAATTGCTTTCAGGCAATCGATACAGTTTCTTATCTTCCATGTCCTTTCCCTCGACCGTCTTTGTGACCGAAATGACAATGTCACAATCCTTCCCTTAATCTATTGTTTCCGTGGTAGTTACGCTGATACTCTGTGCCCACTCACAATGCATAATGAAACATTCTTACATTAAAAGACACCAGCCTTTTGATTTCGTATCCTTTCTTTCATACACAACCCATCCAAAACCAGTCTTTTAAATCCCCGCATGGAAAATCACCAGCATCTAATATTCATATAAACCCATATCATCTTACACGCGCCAATCATGCCCATGATTAGAAACGAAATCACAAGCTGCCCAGAATTTGCTTCCAGGCAACCCATGCGGTTTCTTATCCTCCATTGTCCCTTTCCTCTGACCGTCTGGAAACCGAATTGACAATGTCACAATCCTCCCCTTAATTTCTTTCTCCGTCGCGGTCACGCTAGCTCGATAAAACTGAAATCAATCAATCATCAAAAGGAAAAAAAGAAGATAACTTCAGCAAAGCGTGCGGTCCAAACCAAACAACGACGTCAATCAAACCCTCTATTTATTCCCACCGTATTCCCGCTTCTCTGCAAGCAAGCAAGCGACTGTACCACAGTTTCTTCAGTAAGCATGATGAGAACTATGACCGGTCGTCTCCCCCCAGCTGTGGCCGCGGTGGCGGTGCTCCTGGCGGCGTTGGCGTGCCTCCTCCGGCCAGCTGCCGCCGTGGAACCGAGCGGCCATGCCGCGGACCGCATAGCCCGGCTGCCCGGGCAGCCGGCGGTGGACTTCGACATGTACTCCGGGTACATCACGGTGGACGAGGGCGCCGGACGGGCGCTGTTCTATCTGCTGCAGGAGGCGCCGGAGGACGTCCAGCCGGCGCCGCTCGTGCTGTGGCTCAACGGCGGCCCCGGCTGCTCCTCCGTCGCGTACGGCGCGTCGGAGGAGCTCGGCGCGTTCCGCGTCACGCCCCGCGGCGCCGGTCTCGTCCTCAACGAGCACCGCTGGAACAAAGGTAGGTGCCCAGTCGCTATTGCTTGATCGACGGCAGCTCACTGTTTTATCTGCCGCGCTTCTAATGGCGGGGAATGAATTGTGAACAACCTGCAGTGGCCAACGTGCTGTTCCTGGACTCGCCGGCCGGCGTGGGGTTCTCCTACACCAACACCACCTCCGACATCTACACCTCCGGCGACAACAGGACGGCGCACGACTCGTACGCCTTCCTGGCGAAGTGGCTCGAGAGGTTCCCGCACTACAAGTACCGCGACGTCTACATCGCCGGCGAGAGCTACGCGGGGCACTACGTCCCGGAGCTGTCGCAGCTGGTCCACCGGACGAGCAACCCGGCCATCAACTTCAAGGGCTTCATGGTCGGCAACGGCCTCATCGACGACTACCACGACTACGTGGGCACCTTCGAGTTCTGGTGGAACCACGGGCTCGTCTCCGACGACACCTACCAACGCCTCAGGGAGGCCTGCCTCCACGACTCCTTCATCCACCCCTCGCCGGCGTGCGACGCCGCCACGGACGTCGCCACGGCGGAGCAGGGCAACATCGACATGTACAGCCTCTACACGCCCGTCTGCAACATCACCTCGTCCTCCTCCTCCTCCTCCTCCTCCTTGAGCCAGCAACGGCGGTCCAGAGGGCGCTACGTGAGCATCCCGACCCAGACTCCGTGCGTGCGTGCGTCGCTGTCCCCCATGCTGCTTTTTGAGGTGACGAAACGCCGTGCTTATATATGCTGCAGCCATGGCTGACCGGATCGTACGACCCGTGCACGGAGCGGTACTCGACGGCGTACTACAACCGGCGGGACGTGCAGACAGCCCTCCACGCCAACGTCACCGGCGCTATGAACTACACGTGGTCGACGTGCAGCGACACCATTAATACCCACTGGCATGATGCTCCGAGGTCCATGCTTCCCATTTACAGGGAGCTTATTGCAGCTGGCCTAAGGATTTGGGTCTTCAGGTCAGATCATCCCTGCTTCAGTTTAGCAATGCATTCCAGCATTTCTTAACTACTCCCTCCGTTCCAAATTACTCGTCACAGAAATAGATGTATCTAGAACTAAAATACATCTAGATACATCCATACGTGCGGCAAGTAATTCGGAACGGAGGTAGTAAATAAATTATATTATTACTATTATTAATACTACACATTTGCTCCGGTGCTCTCTTATCAACTGTTTCGCTAGGGTAAACCCCTCTTTCTGACGAAATTTGCGGATACTTCATCAGGAATATATCGGTTGACATCCCATGCCATTCGCGTATGCATCGGGTTATACATGATGCATCTGAATCAATGATTAGATTTGTCTTGAATTTTTGGACATTTTGTTGTCTTCCATTTTATACATGACGTTCATATGCTCTATGATGATTCTAATTGAATTGATTGGTTGTTGTGGACGTTGATAATTTTTCCATATAAATTTGGCGTTGTTAATAACACATATTGTGCTAAACCTCCTTTTCAGAAGAAAAAACGTACCTACCTACTTTTTGAAGAAAAAAAACAGTACTGAATGACAACAGGTGCACTGATGTACATCACTGATGAGTCATCAGACATCATCAGCCAGTTAACAAGAGAAACCGCAGATAATGCACTGCTTTGACTTAATGAACTCACTCACTCAGAAGTCACCCATCCGAATTAACACCTAGTAGAGATGAATTATCCACATTTATGCATTACATTCCCCTGTTGACCCGTCAGCTCAAAATCAGGATCCAACTGGACCCCGGGCATCACTTTTCCTGACATAATTCGCGTCCGCAGCTCTCAAGTTTGCAACTTGCTAGGTTGCTGTCATGCAAAGAAGATGCCCACGGGACATGTGTTTCCATTTAGAAAGACAAGGGAGCTGAGCGTTGTTGTTGATCTATCAGCCGCTGCCGGTCGCACATTTCACTTACCTTCCGTAGGCATTGACATTGATGTTGTCGTGTTTATTTCGCAGCGGGGACACGGATGCGGTAGTCCCCTTGACAGCAACGAGGTACTCCATCGGCGCTCTGGGTCTTCCAACTACCACCAGTTGGTACCCTTGGTATGACGACCAGGAGGTCAGCATCGTCCCACTCAACTCTTTTGCAAAGCAGTAACATCAATAGAATCATTGAGATGCTCTGGCTGGCATGCAAATAGACTTACATGACAGGACACATGAAAACATTATCTACCTTCTCCTATCATTTTCTTAGCTCGGTTAATTTGATTCGCATGGCCGAATGGAGATTGGATTACACTCCTGCATGCAACATGCCAGCAAACATTTAGATGTCACATTAGTTTGTGTTATTAACTACTAGTACATGTCACACACATAATTAACTAGTGTTTGTGTGATGGATTTGTTGACTAGGTTGGCGGTTGGAGCCAGGTGTACAAGGGTCTTACGCTGGTCTCCGTCAGAGGCGCGGGCCACGAGGTTCCTCTGCACCGACCGCGGCAAGCGCTCGTACTGTTTCAGTACTTCCTGCAGGGCAAGCCCATGCCAGGCCAGGCCACAAATGCGACGGTGGCTTAGCAACAAACAAAGGGATGGAAGTCAAATAGTAATTTCGATGTGGAAAAACAAGAGTGATCATCAATAAAGCAATAGATGCTTCTCAAGTACTTTTCCTGTATAGCTAGTATATATGCACATAATGCGGCGATTTATCGAGAATATGGACACAAAGCACAAAAGAACACAGAGGAAACACTTTAGGACAGACTTGATACGAACGACTGATATTCCGATAAGATTGATGTCTCTGCAATAAACGTTTCAGTAGCAACATCAAAACAGAATGACAGGAGCTGCACTCACCAGCAACTTACGATAATAGTGTAATCTTAAGAAGTTGCACGCTCGATCTATCATATGAGATCATGTAAGGAAGAAAACTGGACGGCCGCGCTGCTGGTAATGTCGACAACAGACAACTTGGCATCAGCAGCCGCCTTGGCAAAGCAATTGAAAGTGTCTGCATTCCGAATAACCGTGGCGATATAGGCCACAGGACCTCCGGCTGCAGTGGTCCCAGATACTTCGTCACCAATTTCTCCGTTGGTTGCCGCATTGACACTTTCACGTCGTCCATCATCACCTCTAAGTAGCATACAAAGTACTCGTACCAGGTGGGGCACGCAGGACGGGTTGTATATAATGTCTGCACCAAGACTGGCAAGAGACAGAGGGTAAATGATACGCAGAAGCATGAACAGCAGGAAAATGTGCTGTTATCCACTTCGGAAGTAGGGTACTCATTCTCTAACAGACGCAATAAGGTTCTTAGAGTAGTGCTTAAGTTTGAAATTAGTTTTAGAAACCAACGGCTTAACAAAATAATAATAATAATCAAAGGATAACAACACAAAAAGAATATACAATACTCACACTATGTCTCTCTGGTAGTCTCTTAAATCGCTTTCACACGCTTCTTCCCAGGAAAGATATTTGCACTCTACCTACATGCCAGGGTTATAGTAAGATTAAAGTTTAGGCAAAAAAGCATTCATCCAAAGCTGTGGTCTTGTGGGTAAGTACCACCAAGCGGGATAATGGTGCCACTCCTCTTGATTAACAGAAGACATTATGCATATAATCATGCATACATTATCTACCAAATGTATCTGAGGTAGCGCTATCTATATGCTACACCAACCGGAATGCTAAAATCATATTATATTTACAAACAGAAATGTACTGAGACCAATCTGATATTAACTTAAGAAATCGAACAAACCTTATTCTTGCTTTCTTTTACTAGTTGAAAATCCTCAATGTATAAGTTATTCATTTCCATGTTTGCCTTCATGTTTGTTAGTGTAGATGCATCACCATCAGTAAGAATAACCTGCATAATCACACACATTTTGTATTACATGTGTTGCTTTTCCTATCAGTGTTTCACCTTGGAAGAAGTTTATGAACTTTGTTGCATGGATAGTTCATGGCATAAATCACCCATAGCTTAGGTTATCAAATTGTTGTGAAATTTAAATTTGAAGGATTAATTATGTTAGTATATTTACTTCACCCTTTTCATCGGGAAAGACAAGAAATTTTTATGACGACCATGTTTTGCAGAAAAATAACCATTTACTTGAACGAAGACTGTCATTATAGGATCATACCTTGGAAGCACCAACATGGTTAAGACATACACCAACCAAACCAACACCAGAACCTAGCTGCTTATCATGGAAACATAAGAAAAACAATCACATATTAAATTTGTCAATAGCACTCATTCTTTAGTTTTTTTTTATGGCCGAACGTCTAAGTATGTCACTATTTCAGGCATATAAAAATATGCTAAATTTAACAACGAAAAGCCCCCACTGCAGCCTATCTAATTGCTCAAGCAAAAACTGAACAAAAACATGGAAGCAATAAAAGGATTGACTT